AAATATTAAAATCATGATGTATCTCGTTGCATTACGCGAGTACGCTTTTAGTTTCATAAAACTCTTTTAAAACTTATTGAATGAGTAAGTCACTTATTAAGCTAATGATAACCATGTCTTATTTTTTATAAGATTAAAAATAAGTTAACGGCGTAATCAAATGTTAATCCCTATAAAAGATGAATTTGTGAAATGGACAGAGAGGTCAAAATGGTTGCTGGCTGCTCTTCATGGTCGTCCATCTCCCTTTCTTTACCCCATCACCATTGCTGCTTTTCATCCACTCTGCAATTGCATCATCTCAAATCAGCATCAAATTCCCTTCTCACTCCTTCCACTCGACTATCCTACGCGAACTCCTATTTCCCCAAATTCTCAATGTCTCCTCTCAAAAGCGGCACTGGTAGTACTGAGGAAATCAAAACCACTCAAGACAAAAGCTCTGTGAAAAATCTCATGTCTGATTTCCACGCGATCGACTCGGAATTACTTCAGAAGTTGGTTTATGATGCTCTTGTTTGGAGTTCTCTCCATGGGCTCGTTGTAGGAGATAGAAACTCCCAGGTTGGTTTTGGTTTTCTCCAAATCACTTTCTTTTTGTGTAATTTTTAGTTTCGATCATGTAATTAATCAATCGAGACCTTCGTCGCTGATTTTGGTTGATTCACTAATCGCGTGGTTCTTTAGGTTTTCGCCAGTAATTTAGAGATTTGGGCATGATTATAATGACTGTTTCTTATGATGAAGATGATGCTTGGTGCTTTGATTTTGTAGAGATCAGGATTGATGCCAGGAGTGGGCATGGTTCATGCTCCATTTGCCTTACTGCCAAATTCATTGCCTGAGAGTCACTGGAAGCAAGCTTGTGAGTTGGCCCCCATTTTCAACGAGTTAGTTGATCGAGTTAGTTTGGATGGCAAGTTTCTACAGGACACCCTCTCAAGGTTTCTCTCTTGTTTGCTTGTAGTCTTGCTGTGTGTGTGTGTTTCATATTGCTTTCTGGCATGACATTTGCTTGTTTTTTCATAATCACATTAATTTTACATCATTTTTGTATAACTTCAATTAAATTAGCAGAAAGAAATGATCAATATGGAGAAGAGGACAATAGGAAGAACAATTGACATATATAATGTTGGTATGATTTACATTAAGGTAATTTGATTTACTGGATGAAAATGATGTGATTGATAAGCTTCTGCAAGTATAGGTATGTGATTAATAAATCTATTGTGTCGAGTATGTAATTGAAAGAATTGTTAAAGTACGCAACATTTTTATCTCTTTTGCCTAGTTTGTTTGAAGTTTCACGAAGATCCTGCATGTGATCAATCCATCCAGTCTTGGACCTAATCATGTTTTCTGTATAGTGTTCCTTAATCTTTGATTTCTGTATAGTGTTCCTTAATCTTTGATTTCTGCCTCTTTCAGTTTCTATTGTTGCTATTTGATAAAAAGAAAGAGCGTGTTTTCAAACTGCTCTCGTTTCCCTTTTTTCCGATGGAACAAAATGTTTTTGAAACCGTCAAAGATGATAAAACGGATATTGTTTCAACTCTTCCATAACATTATGCTTGAGCAGCATGTCAAGTTCAAACATGTTCGTGTTTAGCTTATAATCAAAAGGAAAACAAATGAAGAGCTTTTTTCTCACGAAAAAAACCCAAAAACGAAGCATTCCTAAATGAGTATTAAGTTCAGAAAAATGTTACTTCATACACTGTGTTACATATCTGTATTGTTTTTTGCCATTGAGGAAAGAAGGGGGTGGTCTTAGGAGTGTGCAGGAATTTTGGGTTTATTCATTTACTTTGATATATTTACTTTTCCTTTTATTAAAGATCCTGATGTCCCTCCAATACACAATGCCATTAAATTACCTTTCAGAAAACATTGGTGCTTTGGGCCTTTGCCTTTGTGGTTCATATTTATTTCTCGTATCATTCTTTAGATACATTTCCTTTTCTTTTTGCAAATAAATGGCCCGGGAAAGTTCTAGAGTGCACATGTAAGGGATAGGAACATATGTGAACTGATCACTTGCTCTCAAAATTGCAGAACAAAGAAAGTCGATGCCTTTACCTCAAGAATTTTGGATATACACTCCAGGATGCTACAAATCGGCAAGAAGGAGGTATCTTGATGGGGTAATTAACCCTTTATGTGTCAAGCTTGTTGATCTGCCATACTTGCAACTTTTTTCTTAGCATGGCATGGTTATGTTGTTAATATTAACCAAGAAAAGGAAAGCATTCAAACTCCACTCATTTTAAGTGTTCTTGTTATTCACAAAGCACATTGTATCTGTTTGTTTCAACTACATGGGATGTCTCTTTCTAAATGTATATGAACTAATAGTTGTAAATTTTAGGTATGTTATGCTCTACATTTTCCCCTTAGTGCTTATTCAATTTGAATGTTGTCACTGTTCAGGCCAGGGGCAGACCCACTATGGTGCATATGGTGGCATGGGCCACAGCTTCGTTCCTCTGTTGTAGTGTCAAAATTTTTAGGGTCGTTAAAGGTGCCACTATATTATTTTGTTAGGTGTAACCGTATATTTCTTGAAACTACAATAATAACACAAGTTTCTCTTGGCAGAGTTGGTTTGCACATTCTTTTCTCCCCTTTCAGGCGTGGGTTCGAATCCCATTTGTATCATTTTCTTAGTTTTTAGCTTTTAATTTGGGATAAAAGACTCGAAAATAAAAGACAAGCGAGAACCCAAAATAGAAGTGCGATGAAGAGAGAACGGAAATATCATTATGTGTTCTACTTGGTTCCTTTTTGGTCTTGAAATCTCTTTAGCTTATTTCTAAGATTTTGTAATATAATGTTTGCTTGAGCTAGAAGTACGTATGGTATCTTATTCAGGTTTGTGGAAGTTACTAAATTTTCTAAATCTTCCTCAGGATATTCGCTTGGGATTACATCGCTCGGATTATATGCTTGATGAGAAAACAAATTTACTTCTCCAGATAGAGCTGAACACAATTTCATGTTCATTCTCTGGGTTAAGTTGTCGTGTCAGCGAGCTTCATAGGTAACATATGTATTCCAAATTATATGATAATTATGTCATTATGGGAGTAACCTCAAAGTTTACCAAATATGTTTTGATCTTTGTGTTGCTTACACAATTAGTTCCCTTAAATGGAAAGAGAAGTAGAATCGTTTATTATCCAACAGTCACTTGTCTTCGTAAACCCTTAAGACTTCGTAGAATAATCATAAATCAACGGATATTTTGTCTTTCGCTCCTTAACGAAACCTTGTAGGAGAATGGGGAAGTGTGACCTATTGATCGCATCCAGTACTGCTTGGGGGACTTGTCTGATCATAACCTTTTAGATGATTGTTTTATTATTAGTATTTGAATTGGCTTAATAGCTTTGATGATTAGCTTAACCGTTGCATCGAGGAGAAACTATTGATAACTTTGAGTTGTTAGCTACCATTGCTACTTGATTAGCCGATTCATGTCGGCAAAGAAAGTACTGTCCAGTTTGTCTTCAAAAGAGACGCCTCCCATTTGCTTAGCCAATTCATGTGGCAAAGAAAGCCTAACCAAATTAATATGCGATGACCACGGCCAGTCTAGTTGATACTCTTGCTTGAAGAAGAAGAAGAAAAGAGTACTGAATAAACTCACAAACAAAAAATTCTTTGAGTAATTAGCACATAGAAAGAGAAAGACACGCATTAACAAATGGTAGAGGTACTTAGAAATTAGAATAATGATAAATCCAATGAAAAGCAATTGCTTTTATTTAGCCTTAACAAAAGAAAATTTTGGAGTACATGATCAAACTATAACTAATCTCATGACTCCATTAAGAAAAAGAGAATAGCAAAAGGCTAGACAAACACCATCTTGTGTTTTTCACTTCCATGACCGCTGGCAGCATGGTATTCTAGCTGACCTTATGCTCTCTTAGGGGCTGTTTACCAAACGCTTACCAGGTAACTGCTTACCGGATGTCACTTACCTTATCGGATGAGCGTGACAAGGACCAGGAATCTTACCCGGTAAGAGGCATAACATGGTTCAAGAAGCTTACCCGGTAAACGAGGGAGAAGACTCTTACCTGGTAAAAATGTTTATCAACAATCCAATTTGATGGCCAAGAATGTACCCGATACGATAAGTAAGGTGATGCCTCTTGCCGGTAAGTGCTTACCCAATAAGCATTTGGTAAACGGGCCCCTTAGACATTGCCTATGTGCAGTCAAGTCTGCAACATAAGTAAGGTTCACTGAAACTGACCTACACCGTTAGTTGGACAGTGGCATACTAAAGATGCACAAGGCCCATTTTTTCGGGCCTCGGCCTTCCAAGCCTGTTTTTACCAAGCAGGAAAGAAGCCCCCGCTTTTCATGCCCGGGGACGGGGTTTTTGTGTGAAAATGGGACCAATTGAGCTTTTTCAGGCCGTGATTTTCCGGGTTTTTTCAGGCTCAGGCTTTAGAAAAAAAAACTTGGCCTGGACTTTTTTGGGGGCCTGGCTTCGGGTTTTTTGTGCATCTTTAGGCACTAGTGGTCCAGGGACTGTCTGTGGCAGGGTCCAACTTCTAGGGTTCAAACCCTTTTGTTGATCAGAATAGAGGGTCAAACAGGAATTAATGAAGCTCTATTCTGCAACTTTAAAGAAATTAAAGACTAATGAAACACTGCCAATTTTAATATTTCTGCAACTTCAGTCATTCATTTTGGGGGACCGAAAGTGTTCAATTGTCTTGATTAAGATATATGTCATCTTGTAGGAGCTTACTTTCCCAATACAGAGAACACCTTGGATTTGATCCCGAAAGGATTCCAATAAACACTTCTGCAAGTAATTTTGCCAAGGCGTTGGCAAAGGCGTGGACAGAGTATAACAACCCAAGGTTCTATTTTTATCTGCCGACTTCATTCTAAATTTCTTCTTTTCATAAAATGTGCTGGTGACAGAAAAATTAATAATCATTCTTATACAGTGCAATAGTATTGGTTGTGGTTCAACCTGAAGAAAGGAACATGTATGACCAGCATTGGCTCAGTGCAACACTCAAGGAAAAATATCCTTTTTACTTAACTGCTAAACCAGATATTCTGTTGATCGCTCCATTAAACAATCCCTTTTAAATTTGTTGGTTAATTTTAAGGTCTGAACTTTCATTGAGATACGAATTCGTAGAGTAAGTTTGAAGTCAAACTTCTGTTGAAATGTAGTCCTGAGCTTATCAACACATATAATATTACATCTATACGGAAGACGCTGGCTGAAATTGATGCACAAGGGAAGATTCTTTCAGACGGAACTCTTCAAGTGTAAGTATCCTTGTTGCATGAATGAATTATCCTGCTTGAAGGTTTTTGAATGAATGGCAACCGAGTGTTCATTGTTCAAAATTGCAGGGATGGTGAAACTGTTGCGGTCGTATATTTTAGAGCTGGATATGCACCCACCGATTATCCTTCTGAATCGGTGAGTAGACATGCCCGTCTCGTCTTGGAATTTTTTATTTGAAGAATTTTTAAATTTCCTGGAATACATAGCATTTAAGAACATGCAATTAGAATTTAGATAGGCATGGTTTACTTGCAATTAAATGTCTAAAATTGGCTTTCAATGATGATAAAATAGGGGAATTTTGGTGGATCAAGGCTTATCTGAGTGGAGTTGAGTTGAGTTGAGTCGAGTCGAGTCTAGTCAAGTATGTGACCCTTGTCCCTCCCGTTGCAAGGCTCCAAGAATCTGCATAGTTTTTTCTGTTTTTCTATTGGCGTGACGTTTATGTATCTTGTAGGAGTGGCGAGCTAGGCTACTGATGGAGGAGTCATCGGCTATTAAGTGTCCTTCAATCGCTTATCATTTAACTGGCACCAAGAAAATTCAGCAGGAGCTTGCAAAACCGAACATTCTTGAGAGGTGATGAGTAATGACAATGTTCATTGTTAATGACTTTCAATTACAGGTGATGTGGTTGGGATAATTATGAAAAAGGGAAAAGAATGTTGATGATATGATAGCTTTTGAAAAATTTAAACTCAATAGGTATAGGGGTATTTTGGTAATTTGGGTAAAAAAAATAAAAAAGGGAAACATTGCACAAAATGGGGTAGATGGATTAGTTAGCATCGATCATGCACTGAAATGGCTTCGAGTACGCCATCTCTAATGCCCTCGATCAATTCTTGTGGGAACAGGTTTCTTGACAACAAAGATGACATTGCTAAGCTTCGGGCATGCTTTGCTGGATTATGGAGTCTTGATGATTCAAATGCAGTCAAGAATGCTATTGAGCAGCCAGGGGCGTACGTCATGAAGCCACAAAGAGAAGGCGGAGGCAATACCACATCTCAACTTGTACTATACAATTATTACTATCGGTGCAAATTCAAACGAGAACCGTAAATATTTTCAGAACCTGAGAACCAACTATCATATATTGTTCATGATGAATGTCGTAATATATATAGACGAAGGATCGTGTGAGAATAGGAGTTAAGTTGAGAAGCATAAGCAGGGATCTAAACCCTTGATCACTTTTAATCTCACCTCCATCCCATGAATTGTGTTATTGTGGAAATTGATCCGGTGCATCTCCATGCATCTCATTGTTGTTGATCTTCAATTAGGATTGATCCAAGGGTAGAGCTCCCTTCTCACCATAACTGCCATTCTCACCATAACTGTCATTCTCACCGGAACCCAACCCTATATATATATATTCATCACGAAAATGATTCATAATGAAAATGAATAATATTCATGAATATGTAGGGTTATTCATCATGAATAATACATAAAATAGTTGGTTCCGAGGTTCTCAAAATGTTTACGGTTCTCATTTGAACCTAGATTCACCAAGCTTGAATCTTTTACTTGTGGGCTCTTACTCACATTTGCATTAGGTTTTTAGGGTGTCAAGAAAAACGTTACTTCCCAAAGTTCATTTGTAGCATGTGCTAAATGCAGGTAACAACATTTACGGAGACGATGTTAGGGAAACTCTTGTAAGATTGCAAAAAGAAGGGTCTGAAGAAGAAGCAGCCTACATCCTCATGCAAAGAATTTTTCCAACTGCTTTCCGCACAATTCTTGTCCGAGACGGTATCTGCTATAAAGAACACGCCATATCTGAACTTGGGATATTCAGCGCCTATTTAAGGTACTTCCTGCAACATCCTGTTGGTTTCCTTTTCTTGATTTAGGCATGTAAGAAATACGAATACCTGTTTCAAAGAAAAGTACAACGACAATCTTTCGTGAGTGACATTAAAAAGAACGGATATTTGTTGATTATGCATTCTGCTTACGGCTTCTAAATGGCGCAGAAACAAAGAGAAGGTAATCAGTAATGAGCAATGTGGTTACTTGATGCGTACCAAAGTTTCTTCATCGAATGAGGGTGGTGTTGCTGCTGGCTTTGCGGTTTTGGACAGTTTATATTTGACTTGATTTCCAGCCCATGTAAGGATCGCTCGTCTTTCCCCTAATAATAATCGCTATTTTTTTGGCTCGTTCACGAGCTAATCACTTGGCATAATGTTCCGTTTTCAATCTTTTCCGATTTGCACCTTGTGGCATGATTTTTCTGAGAGATAGCAAAGGTCATAGCATGTGTATTATACTCTGATTTTAGTGTAACATCTATCTATAATAGGATTCCGACCCCACTTTCGAGTGGGATTTTACTGGGTATGTTTGGTTTGGTTTATTTTTAGTTCTTTTGAAAATAAACTCAATTTGCTGCTTTCTTTTGTATGAGTTGCAGTATCAAGCAGGGAAGAGACCCCGAATGTTATACATACACACACATATGCATATACATACATGCATACATACACATATGCATATACATACACATATATAAATAGATATACATGTTGGTTCCAGTGAGAAATCAAATTTTGGCGAGAAGGTATGAAGTACTTTGTTAGCCAAAGTTCACATAAATTAACGTTTTAGTGTACGTTAATTTATACTAATGTTAACATTTTCATGGTAACATTTATTTATAACCTTCCTATACTTCTCACCAAATTTTGATTTCTCACAGTAATTTTAATTGTCCATATACATGTACATCTATATCCATATAGGAAATCGATCATTAATATCATACATATACATGTGTAGAGTCGGGTTCTTACAAGAACAATAAGAGAATAAGAAAATGGTCGAATTATACTTGATTTTCCACTAAAATCAAGTGTAAAATCACATGTGATTCACTCGACTCTTCGCGGGCCACGTTGCCCACACACTCTTACGTTGACTATTAGTGTAAAATCACATGTGATTTTGTTCTTGATTTGACCATTTTCATCTTCTCTTATTTGATTATTGTTCTCATGTGAACCTTCAGTCTATATGTACATATAGATAAGGGCCCTTTGAGGGTTGGACAAGAGTTTTTGTGTGCGAGAGTGCATTAAATCTCCTCTAGAAGCCGGCTAATAACGGTGGTGCTCGATCGGTTTTGGTTTACGAGATTCATTTATCAAGTCTTTATTGGTCACGTTCGTAGGAGACAAATAGTGGCTCTACTGAGAAGGATAAAAAAGTGTGATGGTTGAAGGGCAAAAGAGTGAATAAAAATCTTTTAACTCATTGTCCACAACACTCTGGTATACATTGATGATATCCTCTTATTCTTTCCAGATAGAGAATCACATGTAGACTTGCTTTCACAGTTTCATTCCATAATAACAGAGCATGGAACTAACACAATTTGGTTGATACAGTAGACAAACTCCCACACTTTTTCACAAATATGGGTCTTAATGAAATCGTTATTCTTTCGAGTAAAGAGCACATCCGATTGTTAAGACCCTACATTTGAGTGGTGTATGCTTGGTTCATTTCGTTTGTATTCACGGACAACGAACTCTGTTGTTAAGCAAATAAGATGAACATAATCTACAAAATTTGAAAGTAAACATCCAATTTACATAATAAACACTATTCTAAAAAGGTTAACCTTAACAACTACCATGGCTCAAGGCTTGTGTCTCACGCCATGTTAAGTCTATACCACGCCATGGCCTAATGCGGGTTTTTTAACACGATATTTGATTTTACTTATCTATTTCATGGTCTTACTTGTTAAATTTTAATATACAACCCAACTTAAATTGTTTATTATCAATGACCTACAGTAGAAAACATATGTTTGTAGGTATAATATTATATATGATAGAGATTTGTCTTCATAAGTCACACCTTGAAAAACAAGATGATCTCGCCGTGGCTCCTAAGGCTTGAGGTTTGACTTCGCCGTCACGCCACGTCTCACACTGTTTAGAACCTTGATTATAAAACTGATAATTTTGCCCGTGTAGCTCAGTTGACAAAGCAGCAAAGCAACTTTGCTCAAATATTCAAAATACTCAATAGGTTCAAGTAGTTCGAATCATGTGGGAGGCAGACTTGAACCCGCCTGTGTCGTCGAGTCAGCTCTTAAATGGCTCCTCATATGTGGTTCCTATAGGGTCGGTCAGGGTTGCTGGTATAATCAACCTTTTGCTCGAATAAAAGTTGATAATGTTCGATTGGCTGTTAGGATGTTTCACGAATTCCGATATTAATTATTGCAACGATTTAAATTATCAAGATAAAAAGTTTTCATGAGCTTGAATTCTTTTTTAAGTGTCGATACAAGCTTTAAAAGCATCTGGTAACACTAGCGTTTTAGGTAGGAACCAACAAGCCAACATATAACTTCCCTTTTTTGATTTGCATGAGCCATCTGAATTATGTTCAAACACAATATCTGAATCTAGTAGCTCAGCTTCTCAGCAACTTCAACTTCTTGTTTCAAAGTGTCATAAAGGGTCTCAACAAGACTTAATAGGAATCCATCTGAACCATGGTTCGCCAACAAAGAAACCGCCACAGGAAGATCGTTATATTTCCCTAGTGGAATCGTCACCTAGAGATCAAGCCAAAGTTCAGATGCTCTTTTTTTAAGTATACAATATATATATATGTGTGTGTGTGTGTGTGTGCATGCGTGTGTGTGGGGTGGTGGTTTAAATGAAAACAATACCATTTTACGAGAATTCGGGAACATTGAAACAAGCAACCATCACATGTAACACTGTGCAGGCGACTTGGCCCACGAGCTAGGTCGCTATTGTTTATCATGTGTCTATCACCAGTTTATCATATGTGATGGTTGTCTATTTCAGGTGTACTTGCATTCTCGTAAAATGGTATCATTCTCATTTGAACCCTTCCATATATATATATATATATAGAGAGAGAGAGAGAGAGAGAGAGAGAGTGTGTGTGTGTCAGGTTCATGTGAGAATAGTATACAAATAAGAGAATAAAAAAACAGTCGAATCACATGTGATTTTACACTAAAATCATGTGTAAAATCAAATCACATGTGATTCAAAGCCGCGACCTGAGGTCCCAGGCCACGTCACCCACACACCTGCATTAGTTAGTGTAAAATCACATGTGATGTTGCACGTGATTTGACCGTTTTGTGTTCTCTTATTTGATTATTATTCTCTTATGAATCTCCCTCTATATATCCTTCCCATATATATATATATATAGAGAGAGAGAGAGAGAGAGAGTCCCCTTCTTTTGCAAACCACCTAACCAGTACAACCATCTGGTCTGACGAATATTTGGTTCCATAAACATTTGGATTGTTTGTCGATGATAATGAATGAACTCCGATCATCTTCCTTAAATATTTAGATCCTAAAAAATGAACACTCGTCTCAATTGATTGGTTTACACCGTTGTAGTTAGGTGGTTTGCATAAGAAGTGTATATATACAACAAAACTCACATACACTCCTCACCCAACTTTGAACCCTTGGAGGTAGGGGTCTACCAGTAACCCGGATGCCATTGGGCCAATAAGGCTCAGATCTTTCAAGCTACAATCGGTTCAAAACAAAGTGACTGAATGGGAGGAGTGGGTCTAACCTGGCAAAGTCCAGATACTCCAGCTACTGACAACAAGCTGAATGCCCTTGCACGAAATGTTTCCAATAAAGTGGGATCTGTTTGCAATTTAGGTGGAGGTCCAGGAACAGTAGGGATGACAAGTATGCCATGTTCCTAAAACATAGAGAAAAGTTTTCAGAGTTTAATAGCATGTTCAATACCAAAACAAAAATAGAAGAGGTGCATGTGTTTTCACCGGCGTAAACAGACACTTCCTAAACAACTTTAGTTGATTAGAAAGTTCCAGGATATAAAGATTGGATCATAAAGTCACAAGAATAAGTAACGACTCGTGTTGTTGAGATATCAGGGGATAGTTTTTTCCCTTTTTGGTAATTGTGGGTGTTTGGGCCAGCTTGTGTGCACCTCAACTAATCTCATGGGGTCATGAAGATAACAGCTAAGAAAATCCCCGGTGGTCCTGAGGAGCCTCGAACTGACGGCCTATAGGATTAGGAGGAGCCCTAAGGTCAAGTCTCTATTTGCCGGTTGAGATGGCCCTCAAGGTTATGAAGGATAGTATTTGAAGAGAGGGAGGGGGGTTATACCCCTAAGAGAGCAGTGAGAGCTTCGCGTAGTTGGGTCTTCACGGACTCGCATGCATCAATGTGTTCTCCTGATGTCTTTAGAGCATCAAGTACCCGTTCTGATATACCTGGACCCAAGTCAGGTTTCACCGTGCTCACCCATTCACCATGGTTCTTCTTGAATTCAAACCTATGCTTAACATAGAAGTTCATGCACAAGGAAGAAGAACAATCAATCGATATTTCAAATATAGCATAATAGAATACAAAAGAGATCATGTGTCTGAATTCCTCTTTCAGAATACAATATGGAAAACTACTGAATTGGACCCTATACAATATGCCATCTTCTAGTTCAGTTCCCAAATTATTATAAACAGATGCTAATTATGTCCATGATGGTCCTGTTTGTCTCGGCAACTCTACATATATTCGCAATAAGAGATTAAGATATGGCTGTCATTGCCATTTACCTGATGTAAAGGGCATCAAAAAAGACCGCCGCTAAATTAAAGAACAAAAGGATAGGTTAAATGATTCAAAGAAACAAAGATATGGATATTTTTCAGAATATCATCATTGGTCTATTGGTTAGTTCTTTGATTTTCATGTGGGGTCTTGTATTCAAGTCTTTTATTGCAAAAAGATTCAGAAACATGATAAATCTGAAATTAAAAGCTAGAAACTAAGGAAAATAACACAAGCGGGATTCGAACCCGGGTATGGGGTGGGAGAAAAGCCATGCAAACCAACTCTACGAAAGAAAACTTGTGTCATCATTGTAGTTTCAGAATATATACGGTTGCACAAAACAAAATGACACGGTGGCACCTTTCACGACCCTATAGATAGAGTGGGAGTGCCAGGAGATGGTCATGCTTATTTTCATATCTCAGTAAACTAGTGTGTGTGTGTGTGTGTGAGCATCAACGGAGAGCTGGCCTATGTCTCAAATATAAACCATTCACAGGTTCATCACGTATTTTGGCATTGTTCCTTCTTTGTTTATCTTGTTGGTTCTTTAGTTTCAATAGAATTCTGTCCATTCTTTTTCAAACTTGGCCGAGTATCTATCAAAATGTTACAAGATAGCTATATTAAGAGTCTAATGGAACTATTTATGATCAAAGGACACAATGAGAAATGTAGCATGGTTTAAGGATAGTTTCGGGAATCTCTATAACCATGCAAACCAAAATTTTGTTTTAGAAAGGGAAAAGGGGAAGAAGAATTTGAACTCATGTACTTGAAAGTATTACCAGAAGAAATCTAAGCACACCTTTGTAGCAATCGCATGGCAGTAGAGAGAGCCACCAAAGAACTAATGCTAAATTCTTGATTTTCAAAATCATCCTCCATGAAGTGCTTCAAACTTGGAACTTTGCTTTCAACATAGTCCCCAAGGTTAACAGGCCGTAAAATATGATCTGCGCTACTAAATTCAAGAGGTAAGAAGCTACTCCCACACTGCCACAATTAGGGGCTGTTTGGTTGGTTTTCCATTATGTTTTGTATGGATAGAGTTGTCTATGTGGATTAATATGTATGTATAGATTGGGAAGGTTTTTGTTTGGAGGGCTTTTTCATACATGGAAGGAGCCTGTTTTTAATTGGAGGGGCAGGTTTGGAAACACTTGACGCTGCATAAAGCTCCCCTCATAAGCTTACTGAATAAGCCACTCTCTGTATCATTAAGCCACTACTGAACGGTCATGTGTAACTGACCAAATAAGTTGTGAGTCTCATTAAGCTGCTAACAAACATGCCCTTAAGTTTGATGGTACATGGGTCCATCCTCCAAATGGTAATACCATGTATGCCATGAGTTTAAATCCCCATCTCGCATTACTCTAAAAGAAAAAAGAGCAGTGACTCCTTTTGTAGCTTATTACTTTGATTTTAAATGTCAACCTTTCTCAATTAATCTGAATGCATTTAATCTTTTAGGAAACCTTGATATCAAAAGGTACAAAAAGTAAAAAATGGTTCTAAACATGTAGAAGATATGTGAAACTTAGAAATATGAGTTTGATATTCAAAATCAAATGATGACAACTAATATAGAAAGGATAATTTTTGCAGCCATTTCCCTTGAAGTTTGACGGAGAAGACATTAGTACCATACTTCTTTTACTGTTCTGTAAAAATGATTTATATGGCCACTGTATCTCATGTTCTGATCATCTAATACCCACAAAAATGAGTTCACCACTTTTCCCTTATCAAAATGACACCAAGAACATTATTTTAAAAAGATTAGTTTTTACACCAAAAACTGGGACTACCAGGCAAAAGATGATCCAAATTAGAGGTCCAATAACCAAATAAACCATTTAATAATATAAAGGTCAAGCCAAAATGTTCTTTTTCCAAGTTTGACATTCTTAGTAGGAGAATCAACGGATTACCTCCAAATAGATTCTCTACTGATCTAGCAATAACGTTGGTCACTCGGGTGCTTGGGATACTAAGAAGCTTAAAACAATCTTCAGCAATCAAAACTCGACTAGGCCGCACATGTTTTTCATCTGGCAACTGCAAAAGTATCTTCCCAACGTGATTTAAAGTCCCGGGATCCCTAGAGAACCATCCTGCATAGAATTTGAGAAAACATTAAACATATGGCATATATAAGTTATATGTTTCTTTCCAACTCAAAGGCTAGGGGTTTTTAGCCAATTTCCATACGTTCCACTTTCACTCTTTTTAGAGGATCACTTCATTGGTAGCAAGCAAAGCATCCAAATGCACTTCTTAAAATATATTTTCACATAAGTCAATTATATCATGCATGATTTGATTGCCTGTGATTCCTGTGAATGAAAATTTGTATACAGGAAGTGGATAGTTTACACCGTCTACAAGTTGTTAGCATATTTCTATTTTGTAATAATCACAACTTACCAACAGTATCAAAACTCTGTGCCATGGGAATAACTCCATCGGTCGAAACAATTCCATGGGATGGGCGAAACCCAAAAATTCCGCAGTATGATGCAGGAACTCTTACACTTCCTCCGGTATCGGTGCCTACACATATAGAAATCTTAAACTACTGAATTACTAAGAACTTCTAGACAATTTAGAGACTTGATAATCTTAACATTGAGCAAAAATGGTGTTGGGAAGCATTTTATATGAAACATCTGAACAACTTTAAGTTTCGATGTGGTGGTTCATTAAATACTACCCCAATAAAGAGTACTACAATGCAACTTACCTAAAGAGAAATCCACAAGCGTAGCACCAACTGCTACAGCAGAGCCACTTGATGACCCTCCAGGAACCCGGTCTGGTGCACACGGATTAGCAGGTGTTCCATAATGTACATTTTCTCCATTTATACTGCCCGAAGCATTATTTCAGTTTAAAATCATTAAAAACCTTTCATGTCATGTGAATGGGACCTATGCACATATATCTGACCTGTAAGCCATTTCATCCATGACAGTTCGGCCAAGACACGTGGCACCTGCCTTCAACATGGCCAAAACAGCAGGAGCTGTGGATGTAGCAGCAGAATGAGTCCTTAACCAATCTGGATTCCCAAATCCAGTCACATAACCATCCATGTCAAATCTGCTTTGCGTTCCAATATTAATGACAAATAAATTGACACACACAAAACAATTACTGGTAAATCAGGTACTAATTTTCATGTCGTTATTGTTCACTCCATCTGTATAGCATTGTAATTGCAATATTGCATTTTTAAAGAAGTTCTTTAAGTTGAAAATCCATTGTTCCTGATAAATATATTGATGTTATTGATTTTGGTCCATAACAATATTACTCTATTTGTCTTGCCGCCCCTCCCATGCCCACCGACACCCCATCCCTTTTCTACTTTCATCCTCACCATTGCCCCCCTCCCAACCTTTTCTCCTCTTATCCGTCATAGCTTCTCTCAGTGCCAGCCGAATCCCCCAACCATCCGCGTACGAACTCCCGTTCTATATTGCTCCCATATGATCCTCCCTTACCCAGCTACCCTTATAATCATTACCTAATCCCTTTTATCCACACAACCTTTTACTGTCCTCGTTACTGCAAAGTCTTGGTCCTATCCTGATATCCTCTCAGATGGAAGACTCTTCCTACCTACTAAATCAAGTGATCTCTTCTTGAAACTGTTTGACCATCGCAGGTCACAATAAGAAGATTGCAATTTGAAGCCATTTATTTGTGACATTGTTCATATGTTGCAATTTGCGAACCAAACCATCTGTCATTGCTTGCAAAAAGCTAGCAATTTTAGGAAAATTGTAAAAATACAAAGGTTAGTAATAGTAACCAAATTTGACATCTTTTGTTGCATCTCCATGAGTGTGTTGAAACTAAAAGTTAATGTACCAGTTAACCACTTCCAAATGTTTACAATCTAACGTAGAATTGAACCAAATCATTTGAAACCAAACCAGCTAACTACCGTATCAGTAAACGGGCGCATATAGTAAGTACAGTCAAAGATATCAAGAGAGGTCGAAATCCATTGACCTATGAAGAGAAAACTCACATGTCTTTGACGGCAAACGTGAGGCGATTCAAGGGGAGTTGCTCAGGAGACGAGGCTGGCGAGGGCGGGAGGATGAATTTCTCCATGAAAGCTCCGTAATCCAGGTCCCTTGCTATCGTCATCGTCCCCTTCTCTGTGTATGGGGAATTTTCAGTTTTAGTAGATAATATACGGCTGACTTTCGAATGAAGGATAGGGATAACCTTCCCTCCACAACTTTACATTTGCTTAGTAGACACCAAAATATCGGGTATACACTGTAATTTATTTTGATATGTAACATTTTAGTACATTAAAATATATCGAATGCATCAATTTACTTGGTAAGCGCTTATAAGAGTCGTCATCCTCACTTATCGGGTAAGACTCTCCATCCTTCTCATCGCTCTTATCCGGTAAGATTTTTGGCCCGTCTCATATTTCATCTAATGAGGAAATTTATGCGTTAAACACTTATCAAGTAAGTATTTAATAAACGGCCTCTAAGTGATATATTGGTAGGGGTTAACCTGGTAACCATTTAGCAAACAGGCCCTGGTAATGTTCGACGGTTTAACAAAAATTTAAAGCAATCAATCTCATCATTACCAAGTAATTTCATAAAGTAAGAGGCCAATTACCAACAAACATTGAGTAAATGCTAACCGAGTAAAAAATAATCTAATTGTTTCCCTCTTGATAGTTCCATTAAGAGGCAGTCTCTGAATCGTTAAGATGTGAATCTTGTTTGACAAAAGAAAAGTCTCCATCTTAATGGTTCTAAAATCCTCTGAATAATTTTGCATCATGGACCTCCCTTAATCATTCAGCGCCCTAATTTCATTGTAAACAATTATCAAACAATTATATTTCATTCTGTACTATATCATAAGAGCCTCTTAATCATTCTGACCTAAGAATCGCAATCTGGATAAGCAAATGATTAAAAATGGATGTTTAACCAAATGTCGAGGTAATTGCTGACTAAAAGCAAGCCCTTCTCGAGTGGGTCGGTAACTTTTTTGGGAAAAAGACCGGGTCAGTATCTTATCAACGTATTTGTGGATCAGAGTGTGTTCGTAAACAACATTCCTTCTTAACGGATACACGCCTCTTATCCGGTAAAAGACAGCCAACATGTAGTGAACATTCCTAAAAGTGTACTTTGATCTGGTAATTATAACAGGACAAAAAGGCAGCCTTTAACCTGCTGCTTCTAATACAATACAAGAGTTTTAAGAAACCCTAGAAAACTAATGTATTTGCAAGCAGCATTCAAGTATTTTCATCAAGATCTTCATCAGAAAAACACAAGAATGGAATTTGTGGGTTGCGTTCATTGGGTTCTTCGTCGTCCTCAGTAGCTACCTCGGGAATTTTCCATCCCATATGGCTCACATACATTTTGTCGTATGCTTCAATGTTCAACCCCGAAGCCAGAAACATTTCTAGCTCATTCACAAATCGATCGATTCTCCCTCTTATGAAAGGTTTTGCAACATCTGCTACCATACTCTTGAACTCTTCTTGTTTTAATGCCGGTGAAACTTTAGACACCTTTGTCTCGTTTCTGCAACATAACAAATAACTACATCTGAATGATGAAAATTGCAACGATTTTCATGTTTGATACGCCCCAAGCTAATTGCAAATTTGCAATGTTTCAAGTTCAAGCTAATGTTCAGAGCTATGTTAACACTTCAAAGGTACATGGTGCCATCAATAATGATGTTCAGTTATCAAATGCAGCATTGTGCATTTAGTGTACCTTTGGTGCAGAGAATAGGACGAGACATGATAAAGTAAATACATGTTATTGGGACAAGACAGGATTGAGTGGGGCAAAAATGCACTTCTTTTTCCCACCAAAAAAGGTGGAGCAAAAACCAGGGAGGCAGGGAGATGGGACAAGATTGGTAAATTACAAAGCGATTCATGTCAAATTAAAACCCTAAGACGTTGCACAATCTTTCACCCACCTACCTCACTCTCATACGTCCCGTCCCGTCCCGTCTGTATGCACTTGGTACATGGACGGGACTCAACTGGACTAAACTAGGCGGGCAAGACTGAGGTAAGCGGATGAAAGAATTGTGGAAGGTTTTGGTCTTAATTTGACATGGGTGGTTTGGTAATTTACCAAGTTTGTTCCATCTCCGTGATTCTAGTTCCACCTATTTTGTTGGGACTAAAAAAAATGCATTTTTGCCTCACACAGTCCTGTCTAGTCCCAATTGTCGTATCGAACATAGGAGAGCAATTTTTTGTTATGTCCTGTCCTGTTACGGGTACCAAATCGCACCCTTAGGTCCAATTCTGTTTTGACCGTAAGATTCAAATTTGATGGGTATCAAGAAATGAAGATGCAATTATGTCCTTCAAAAAGTGAAGATGGAAAATGGTATTGCATGGAAGGAACCTTACCTTCTCCATGAATCTATGGCCCCAAGAATGTGGTGCACAATTATGTCAACATCTTTTTCCTACAAAGATGACAAAAAGGGGCAGATCAAATATGCATCAACTCAGCAAAAATATCATTTTCTTGAAAAGGTCACAAAGATTATTATATTAAAGTGAGAAACAAAACGAAATTGACACTATAGTCCCCTTATTGGGTGCTTTATGGGTGAAGTTTTTTAGGCGTGCACGAGTTGACCATATCCCCAAATTACTGACCATGAATTTATAGGTATAAGAGAATGGGAACGAGCAAGAGGAAAATTTACTTCATTCTTTATACCAAAGGCCAACAATTTGTAAAAGTAGAAACAAAAGCTAACAAATATTGGAGATTTACCAAGAAGTAGAGTACAAGAAATATAATAAAGTGAACCTGAATCAAAGCTTGAAGTTCCCTGCTCACCCAACTAGATAGCCACTGGTTCGGCTGACGATATTTGTTGGACTTCCAATAGCGTAATACATCAATATTACCGATTGAGTTACCTAATCCACCGAATTTGTAAGAAGTATATAGCAGAAATTAAGTATACATACACCAATGTCTATGTGTGTATATATATATATATATATGTCAAGAATACCTGGCTCAACGTAGTAGCACTGTAATCTGTATTTGTGGGCTTTTGTAAAGAAAATGCTACAAACACAGTGGAGAGAGCAAGTAAGCTTATGAAATTCAAACACAAGAATGAAGGGAAAGAATAGAACAGAATACAGAAAATAGTTACCTAGATTCTGAATTCTGATAGATAAGATGCTGTTGGAAAGAAGTTCCGTCATACCCATATATAATCGATGAACTTTTTCTCTGCATGATGGCCATAATTGTAAGGTTAGTTCACCAAGAATATAACAATCTCCGCAATCGAGAGACTCTAGTTTCCTTTCCTAAACAACAAGAACCAAAGGCGGCTCCATATATATCTCCTTAAGAATTACATTAAGAAATGCTTTTCTGATCTCAAGGTTTGATACAAAGGCTATCGAGGAATATCAGCCTGGGTAATAAACAACACCAAAGTTATCTTAGCCATAGGCTTAAAGGTCTCATCACGGTAATCTACAAATATTCCTTGGCTATCAACCAAGCCTCTAGACATGCAAGAGTGTATTCACTTTCTATGTGACTTGTATATGCCTATGAGCAGCAGAGCAGGAACGTCAACAAGCTCCAAAAAGTTCAATGGGCAGACGTTTCCTTGTGCATGGCATGCCTCCCTCCAAGATGTGTCACGACCTCAAAGGAGACATGATCAAAATAAAACTTATGTGGTGTGACTGTCATTACCACTATAAATCAGTTCAAAAAACTTAAATGGATCATGTGTTCATGACAATCAACACCAATCCCACATAAATAAAACATTTCCAATAATCAGTACTTTCCCTTGGCTTAACCCCACCACCACCACAAACACATACCTTGTGTTCTCCAATTGCTTAGATTTTCACTTATATAGAAAAACAAGCAACACCTATTCCTCTTTGACATTTGGATATTACCCTCCTTACAACGATGGTGCAATTATTGCAGGCTCTAGGCCAGCCCTTACCAGTGTCCAGATCCACATGGTACTCATATTAGCCAAGTGAACTCTATAAATCATATAGGTCCCTAAGCTCCACGAAATCCAAGACATCTATTTTTTTATATAATAAATAGAATCAACAATCTAAATCAGGTTCAGTTATGTTCCCCATTTCGTGTTTTCCAGAATTAGCTTCACATCTATGCAACTGGTGTGATATATTAGATATTATGTAATGAGACCCATATATTGGTATCTAGCAATATGATAATTAAACCGCATAGTACTTCCACTTGAAGATTTGATCATGACATCATAGTTGCATAGTTGAGGGAAGCAAAAACATGCTTCCATGACGTTCACATAGCAATCACCAATAAAAGGAAAGATAACTTAATAGCAGCATCAATAATAATCATTTTCACAAATTTCAACAACTTGGTTGAGCTCCGAATACACTAATCACTTGGGTAAGTTCTTTTCACCAACTGGTGCAAGATTGTAAGAAAGTTATGTATGACAAACCTTACAAAGGGGACATTTTACAAAGGATTGACAAGGACAATGCTTACTGCCCACAACTTTGGTCCATTGCAGGATGCAACTGTAGCAAAACTTATCTGCAAAATAGTCATTGTGGCATCATTAGTCAGCATTGTAAAAAATTTGACCATATGTGCAAACTCAAACATAAATACAGAGGTTTAGCCTCCATGCCCATGCCAACGTGACTATGCCTATTAAACTCCAACATTGTACCAAATGAGATGATAAAGGTCGTGTCATTTTCTAATATAACAACTTAACAATACAAACCACTATTGTTTTATGGTTCTTGAAAGCCTAATTACTGAATGGCCTGAGCACCAAAGAAAGAGATTGAATAGATCAAATGGGGAATATGTTGAGACATGAAAACACTCAAACTATATGCCACGTCCAGTGCAAGCTAAGCTAGGTAAATCAGCTCAAATTTTGACGCCATAAACACAAATCAAATCCTGAAATAAGGTTTTACGGGTGTCCAGATTTAAGTTGAGCATAAGTTTGACCATATACCACAAATTGAAACTTTCTTATATTTGATTTGTTTGTTTGTTTTTCTGTTCTATGTACAACAATAATGGTGGGTGTGCTCCAGTTGTTGACTATTGGCTAGCAGTTACCCAATTATAGTCGCTTCTACTTGATAATTGGAATATCCAGGAAAGCACATTTGTTAGGTAGGATACATGAAGCTACACCGACAACAGGGGGGAAGGACAAAAATAATGGAGCCTTAACATTTCAAATTCAAATCTGATAATGATTTTTCCACAAATTTAATTTCTGTCTCACACCACTACTATAAATGGCTATCACCTCATTGAATTGGTTGCTAATTGGGTCAATACAATTTGGCAGAATTTCATATGATCTCTCTTGATTGGAACCGAGAGGGGATATCCAGGTATATAAGCTTAAATGAGATGACAGAATACGAACACTACAGATGATCATTACACAATTTATACATCTAAAAAGAAGAACATCAGTAGAGCATATCGATTCGCAATCAGCCACAGGATATAAAAAACGAAGTAATTCTCGAAACTTCATTAAGATTTGGAGACCGTGGGAAGAGAAATCACAAACAGAGAAGAAGAAGATGCGTACGGAAACATTGATCCAAGTAGGATTCTTCAAGGATGGAGGAGAGGCAGATGGGGCATGAGTCGAAGACAGAGGAAGAGCTGCTCTCCTCTTTTTGCTCCATTTTTTCTTTTGCAGTATTGAACAAAGGAAGGGGGGTTAAGGGGATGTTTGCCTGTTTGGGAAAACAACCTTTTTTCTTTTTTTTTTCTTTTTTTTTTCTTTCCGTGCAGGTAAATTGTTATATAAGATACGTTTTGATGTACTACAATCTTACCTAATAAAATAAATTATAGTGTTGAATCTTAATATTAAGCATTTATCAGGTAAACATTTAGGTAAACGACCCCTAAATCGGTTTTACTATTTTCAAACTCTACATCATCAAATCCTAGCAAACACCGTTATCACTCCCTCTTGCTACTATTTGTCACCCATTGTTGTTTATTCTCCATATTGCATATCACATTGTTGCACTGCCATTGATCTTCCTCTCTTTGGTTAATTTTTTATATCAAAAAATATAATCAAAAAGAGGGAGATCAATAACAGGAGCCAACAACATGATAAGCGATATGGAGAACATATAACAACGGGGCGATGAGGAGCGATGAGAGGAATGATACCGGTGTTCAAGGGGCTTGAATGGACACAGGATTTGGGAATTGATAAAATTGATTTAGGTTTAGTTTAAAATCACCCTAGTCGGTTACAAACAATTTTTTTTAATAGTTAAAAAGATATAAGTAACCAATTTTTAGAAATTCCGTAGTTTGTTTTATTTAAAAAAAAGTTCAGCGGTTTAATCATTTAAAATGAAAAAATTTAATGGTTTTTTTATTTAAAAAAAATAGTTCAATTTAATCATTCTAAATGAGAAATTTTATTTATTTTTTCATTCAAAAAAAATAGTTTAAAAACTTAATCATTCAAAATAATAGTGTCTTGACGGGTTTTTATGAACTTTTCCCTATAATAAATGGTGTGAACTTTTATATTTTATAAAACCTCTAAAAATATTGTAACGATCCTGAAGATAACGTGCATCAGTTCTAATTTCACGTGCTTCAATGCTTGGATCACCTAAGCAATTAATTCAGGGGTTGTTCATTAAATGTATATCAGGTAAGTGTTTATTAAATGTCATTTACTTTACTAGGTGAGCATAAAAAAGAATCGATAATCTTACTTGGTAAAAGGCATAAGAAAGACCAAAAATCTTACATGGTAAGTGAGGATGAAAACTCTTACAAGGTAACAGATAACAGGTAAAAGACTTATCAAGAATTCATTTTGATGATCGATAATGTTACCCATTAAAGTAAGTGAAGACTGTGAAGTGGTGATTGTTGCCAGTAAATGTTTGGTGCACGACACCTTAGTAACTAGTTATGTGTCCATGTCATACATCAAAATCTAAAATTTATTGTAACACAATATGAAAATTTAACACAACTTCTCAACAAAAAAGGGGGGAAAATACAAATTTTATATTTGAATAAAATCGACATCAAAATGGTGACTGAACGCGTACTTTCATGATATTTTCAAATTTTATTTATACTATATTATAAAACATTTGACAAAAATTATTGAAAACTAAATTTTATGCATAAAGTACTGTTTATTAATGCATGTTACTTAAAACTCAATATTACAAGTAGATTGTGCGTAAGTACACTTTATTAAAGCTCTATATCCAAATTTGTGTAACTAACTACAGATAAACATAATCAAATACAAGATAAATATCTCATTTTAAATATAAAAATTCTAAAATATAATTAGGATAATCATTAAGTTTCAACAGAATACTTATTTATTATCCCTATGAAATGTTATGTTATTAAACCAAAAATAAATTATTTCATTATTAAACTTAAATAAAATTATAATAAAAAAAAATTACATGAACTTTTAAATAGTTGATTTGATATTAACATTCATATATTTTTTTTTTCAAATTTTTTATGATATATTCAAATTTATATCATATTAAAAAATAAAATCATTATTGCTTTCTTAAAAACACATAAATCGTATTATAACATTGACATATACAAATAATAAAATAGAACATTAAAATCGAGATTTATCTCACTGCATTGCGCAAGTACCCTTATAGTTGTTGTATACAGGAGTGACAATTTTACCAAATCACCTCGTACCAATCAAATTAGTACCAACTTAATTGGTACGGTTGGTAGCACCATACCAAGTATGCAAACTTGGTTGATATATAATATTGGAAGTCACATATCACGGTAGTAGAATGGTAATGACACGTTTAATTATTTACTTTTTTGTACTTTTTATGTATGGAATATTAAACATTGTAACTTTAGTACTTGCAAGATTTATTCTTTATAATTAAAAATCTTAAACATAATTACTTGGAAACTCAAAATTTGAACAAAATGACAAGTTTTCATATATGTAACTTGAAAACTTAAAAACCACTTTTTATGCATAAAGTATTGTTTATTAATGCATGTTACTTAAAACTCAATATTACAAGTAGATTGTGCGTAAGTACAACTTATTAAAGCTCCATATCTGAATTCGTGTAACTAACTGTAGATAAACATAATCAAATACAGTATAAACATCTCATTTTGAATATAAAAAATCTAAAACATAATTAGGATAATCATTGAGTTCTAACAAAATACTTAATTATTATCTTTATAAAATGTTATATTGTTAAACCAAAAATAAATTATTTTATTATTAAACTTAAATTAAATTATAACTAAAAAAAATTTAAAAAAATTACATAAGAATGAGAATTTTTAAATAGTTGATTTGATATTAATATTGACATTTTTTTTCAAATTTATTTTTTATTCAAAAATAAAATCATTATTGTTTTCTTAAAAACACATAAAATCGTATTATAACATCGACAGAGACAAAAAATAAAATATAACATTAAAATCGAGATGTATTTCACTGCATTGCGCGAGTACCCTTCTAGTATTTTATTATATATACTATATAATAAAGTATTTGACAAAAACTTTTAAAAATCATTTTTATTCATGAAGTATTGTTTATTCATGCACATTGTTTAAAATTCAAGATTACAAGTAATTATGCACAAGTACAACTTATTAAAAGTTCATGTTTGAATTCATATAATTAACTACAAATAAACATAATTAAATAAAAAATAAACATCTTATTTTAAATATAAAAAATATAAAATATAATTATGATCGTCAACTTTTAAGAAGATACTTAATTATTATTTTTATTAAAAAATTATATTATCAAACAAAAAATAAAAAAAAATGAAATAAAAAAATACACAAAAAATGGAGAAATTCCAAATAGTTAGTTTGGTTTAATATAAATATTTTTTTCAATTTTTTATGATATATTCATATTTATGTTTTATTTAAAAATAAAAAATATTACGCTTTCTTAAAACCACATAAAACCGTATTATAACATCGACCGAGATAAAAAAAAATGAAACACTAAAATTGAGATGTATCTCGCTACATTAATCGATATGCGTCTGGTTGAGATTACGTGTTTCTCTTTTATAATAATAATTAGAATGGTACTCGCATAATACAGTGAAATGCATTTCAATTTTAATGTTTCGTTTTTTTATCTCAGTCGATGTTATAATACGGTTTATGTGGTTTTGAGAAAAGAATAATATTTTAAAATTTTGAATAAAATATAAATATGAAAATGTCATACGAAAATTAAAAAAAAAATATTGATAAACTCACTATTTAAAAATTCCCCTTTTTTCTGTATTTCTTTAATTTATTTTCTTATTTTTGATTTAATAATATAATTTTTTTATAAAAATAATAATTAAAGATTTTGTTAGAATTCAATGATTATCCTAATTATATTTTAGATTTTTTATATTTAAAATGAGATGTTTATCGTTTATTTAATTATATTTATCTACAGTTAGTTACTCGAATTCAAACATGAATCGTTAATAAATTGTACTTATGCATAATTTACTTATAATCTTGAATTTTAAGTAATATGCATCAATAAACAGTTTTTCATGCATAAAAATGAAGTTTTTAAGAGTTTTTGTCAAATATTTTATAATATAAAATAAATTTACTTGTAATCTTAAATTTTAAATAATATACATTAATAAATAATATTTTATATATAAAAAAATAGTTTTTAAGAATTTTTATCAAATATTGGCAGGGATAAAAAGATAAACTCTAAAATTCAATTACGTTTCTTTTGTTATGCAATCAGCATCGTTATCCGTCGACAACAACCTTGACTATGAGTATGAGGTGGCTTTCAACGAATCAACACCACCCCCTCTCTTTTAAATCTCTCGCCGATATCCCTTCTGCAGACAATCATATCTTCTTTCAACAAAGCATTCAATCGATTCTTGGTGCTTTTATCATACAAATAATACAATAGAAGAAGATGAATACTCTGTTGCGAAAGGCCACCGCACAGGTCAGCCCCTCTTATTCTTCCCATTCATGCATTCAATCGGAATCGGAATCGGAATCGGAATCAGAATCAAAATCAAAACCAGTTTAGGGGAGATTAGAATGGTAATGTATGTTTACCGAAGTTAAATGGGTGCTTGTTAAAAGTAGTGTTCTACTAATACTGGCTCGATTTGATCTTATCGATCCTACTGAGACTACTGGATTAGGGGCTGTTTGATTGGTATTCCATTGAGTCATCTATGGATATAACTGTCTGAATGGATTAATCAATCTATTTGTATAGGTTGGGAATGTTTCTATATTTCTATATCGCTAAGCCAACCGAATAAGCTGTTCGTCCTATTAAGTTCATTAAGATGCTAACAAACAGATACTTAATTTTGGATGATTAAGATCTTATTGAAGCATATTAAGATCTTATTGAAGCTTACCGATAACAACACCGACTAGCCCCACATAACCCACCTCTAAGAACCACATGTGAGGAGGGATTCTAGAGAGCATGTTTCTTGCAGGATTCAAATTTAAAACCGTTGTGTATTTGAGCAAATTCGCTCTACCCATTTACCAATGGAGCTACACATTCGAGGCGAATAAGACATAAGATTCGTATCTCCCCCTTTTTTTTTTATTAACAACCCGCTATGCTAGCAGACTAATCCCAGGGCGACCACCTGCTATGCAGATGTATCTCCCCTTTTTGTGATCTGCTTTTTTGGTTGTTGTTGTATTCTTTTCAAATGATTAAGTAGTTGTTAGTTCATAAAGAATGTTTCTTTGCATCAACTTTATCGATTTTTATATATTTGTTGTCAATTTCCTTTAATAAAAAGGATGCTTTAGAACTCTAAAATATTGAAAAGCTTATACTCCTTTGGTCCCAATGATATTGTCATGTATTGATCGAGTCTTTTGTTATATTTGTAAATTTTATAACCAAAAGTGGGGACCAAAGCCAATGCGGGTCTTTCTGTCCAGGTGCAGGTCCGCACTGTTTTCCTACCGGAATCCTTCCAAAATCACGATATTAATCTTGTTCATGAAATTTATCTTATACGTGCTGGTCTTTGTTCCTTTTTACGTTTTTTGGCTCGTACTCTGAAACAACTGTTATACTCTTTGGGAATACAACCCACCCTCCGACCTACTTCCAAGTGGGATGTACCGTGTCAATTTGGTTTGACTTGGTTTTAGTCAACCACTTTTATTAGACCGGATGACCAGACGAAGCATTGCACAATTTTTTCGGGGTGGCGAAAGTGAAGCTATTTATAAAGATCTTATATATGTTCATATTTGCATAAGTGTGAAAGGTTGTAACTTTATATTTCATGCATATTTCTATAATGCCATGGTTACTAACACTCCAAATGCTGCACTGGAATTAATGTTATCTTTAGAATTTCAACTCTAATGTTTTTGAGAAGATGTGTATTATACAGATAGGTTCGTACACAAAAACCGTCGGGGGTTCTAGAGCTCTACTGGTGAGGTGGACGAGTACAGATGCAGTACAAAGTGATGATCTCTCAGTTGATCGTAATGGGTATGTTATAGCAATGCATCTTTGATGCTATGACTAACAAAGATCGAATTTTCTTTCTTAATTGCTAGAAAATAGAAAACTACTGGTGTTAAGTTCGTAATAAATCGTTTTGTTAAATTGGAAAGGAGTTTGTTTGTTTGAAAGTCAAAGCGTATGATCCGTTCAGGGTGCATTTGGTATGGGGCACATGGGACAGGACATAACAAAAAGCGTGTTGTCCTATGTGGCTATGTTTGATGTGATATTTTAGACCGGGATAGGACATGACTGACACCAAATTAGTTGGAAGAAGACCAAGAGACAAGATTGGTAAATTACTAAACTACCCATGTCAACTTACCCTAAACTCTTGCATAATTCTTTCACCCGGCTACCTCACTCTCCCTGGTCTGTCCCATATAGTCTTGTCGAGTCCCGTGTACAAAACACACCTAATCTAACCAAAACCAAACAAGCCCAGTATCTCACGCCCGAAGGTGGGCTGGGGGAGATGAGATGTATGCAGACCTGACCTCCACTCCCAAAAAGTAGAGCGAGTGTTTCTGTGAAGACTAGCCACCTAATCTGACCAATTATTCTAATCTCAGGTTCAAGGGACACGACATGCTGGCTCCTTTCACCGCCGGATGGCAGACTAGTGATTCAGATCCCTTGGTAATCGAGAAGTCTGAGGTAAACATTATCGACATAATACTCCATGTATCTAGAAGATTTGGTGCGTAGGAAGCTCAACAAAAGTGTTAAATTCAATTAAAATTGTGTTCTTGGTATGTTCATTCTCAAGAGTTGGACTTTAAGAACCAACTCACTTTTTGTCATCTGTTATCTATCTTCTCGAGTTTCTCGAAATGGGTACTTGAAGGTGGATATTAATAGTGGGCTACCTGATCATATCAAGGTTGACTTTTTTTTATCACTATGAAGATTGACTCTTTTTTACTCCATTTTTTTGGGTTCTTGGTCTTATAGGGCTCATATGTCTACGATATAAATGGGAAGAAGTATCTTGATTCTCTTGCTGGTCTATGGTGCACGGCTTTAGGTACAGTCTTCTATTCTAAATAATGCAAGACTGATAATTTAAGCTAAAAAACTTGTTCTACATATGTAGTACAATTGTTCAGTCATGTAAACGTAGTCCTATATAACAGTCTATTAAAGGCCTGTTTGTTAGCAACTTAATGAGCTTAATTGGACCGCTTAATCAGACCCACAGCTTATTCAGTCAGCTATACTTGACTAGTTGCTAGTGGCTTAATGATATAGAAAGTGACTTATTCAGTAAGCTTCTAGGGAGGAGCTTTATGCAGGAAAAACCTAGTCTTTTTTCTAAACTTCCCCTTCCAATCTAAAAACACGCTCCATCCATCTATGAAAAAATCCTCCCAAACAAAAACCTCCTAGTCTATACAAATGATTAATCCACACAGACGGATTTGTCCATAAAAGAGTTAATGGAAAAACCAACCAAACAGCTAGACATATATTTGACATCCGATGAAGTCGATTTTGTTGTAGTGTATGCTAATGTTAAAAAGTCCAAAAGTTAAAGGGTGCTTGCTATGAAACGTTTTACAAAAACGAGTAGTTTATTCAATTTTTGACGCACCTTACTTTCCGGAACTTTCAGGGGGGAGTGAGCCACGGCTTGTTGCGGCTGCAACCAAACAGCTAAATACTTTACCATTCTACCACTCCTTTTGGAACCGAACCACAAAACCATCTCTGGTATGATTAATCATTTGTGGGTATTCAATATATATAAAAATGGATTCATTCATATGACCATTAAAACTGCTTCCTTTTCTATATTGCATGCAGGATCTTGCAAAAGAACTCATTGAAATGTTTACAGCAAGTAAAATGAAGAAAGTCTTTTTCACAAATAGTGGCTCCGAAGCTAACGATACTCAGGTTTGCTTATCAACTTATTTTGTCTAGTTAATTCATAGTTCTTTAACGAATGATCATGATTCCGGTACTAACCAATTTTCTTGAAACCTTTTCGGGTTTATATCTTTTTCCACCTATAATAACTAACTTTTAAAAACCATTCTTGAACAAATAAACATAGAATTCTCATCTCCATCATTTTGTTCTTCCATTTTATAGGTGAAACTGGTATGGTATTATAACAACGCGCTTGGAAGGCCAAACAAGAAGAAATTTATTGCTAGATCTAAAGCGTAATTTTCTTTTTCAAGTGATCGTTCTTGCATTTCTTTCATTTCCGTGTCTTTTGTTCTAATTTGGTTCTATATATTTTCACAGATACCACGGTTCAACTCTCATATCAGCTAGTCTTTCTGGGTATGATCTTCAAGAAATTGCTATTGTCGAATGAAATGCTTCAGCTTTTTGGTTCAAATTCTCGATATTTATCTTTGTTTTTGTCAGCCTTCCGGCATTACATCAGAAATTTGATCTGCCAACTCCATTTGTGTTGCATACGGACTGTCCCCATTATTGGCGATTTCATCTTCCAGGTCTGCATTTGCCTTTTTTTTTAAGATATCTTTACTTTTAATCTCCATGCCAGTTATAAAAAATTTATAAACCAAACCAAACGAACCCATTTATCAAGATTGATGAGTTTGAATGATTAAAAGTTGATGTAAATCGTGTGGTAGGTGAAACGGAGGAACAGTTTTCAACCAGATTAGCAACCAATTTGGAAAACCTGATTATCAAAGAGGGACCAGAAACGGTATTGTAAAAGATACATGTATTAATCAAAGATCGTTAGTCGTTCTTGTGGATGACATTCGTTACATGTTTGTTGATTTCAGATTGCTGCGTTTATTGCAGAACCAGTAATGGGAGCAGGAGGGGTGATACCTCCACCTGTAGGTTATTTTGAGAAGGTTGAATTTCTATACCTTCACATATCAGGGTTCAGGGTTGTGCGTCCGTATCATAACTTAGTGTAATTGAACCATTCACTTCCTTAGTGATACATCATCTTGTGCTTTCTTGTGATAAGCACCATTACAACAAAATCAGCTTTATAGGACACCAAATATGTCTTAATAGACAGCTTTATAGGACCAAACAGTTGTGCATCGTATGTAAAAATGTTACAATAAGTTGGTGCTTGATAGTATTGGGCATCCGAACAAGATTCCTATAAAAAGATGTGTTCATATGACACTTCTCAAAAGTGTCCTATTAGCTTTTTTATAGAACACTTTATTTCAAGTGTCCTAAATCTTGTCAAGACTTCCAAGAGCGTCCTATCAACTTATTGCAACACTTTTACATAGGACGGACACTTTAAGTCCAATAAAGCTGTCTATTAGGAATTTAGATATACTTGGCGTCCTATAAAACAGATCTTGTAGTAGATATATTTGTGATCTATAGAATACATCATTCAAACGAGTGATTATATATGATTTTGGTCTTTAATATCTGGTCTTTTAAACCCGTATGCAGGTCCAGGAAGTTGTTAAGAAATACGACATTCTATTCATTGCAGATGAGGTACAGCAGTAGTTCTTTAAAATTTTCAGCATTAACGACGTCTTGAGTTTGTGATTCATGTTTTATAGTCGTTATTTATAGGTTATTTGTGCTTTTGGGAGGATTGGATCTATGTTTGGATGCGATAAATACAACATTAAGCCCGATCTTGTCTCCATAGCCAAGGTAGAATGATCCATTCATCTCACATCGGACCCGTCTTTCAATATAATCTTTCCGTTCAAGAACTAAAACTTCAACAAAATTCTGAAACCCGTGTTTGTTCAGGCCCTTTCCTCTGCATATATGCCTATTGGAGCTGTTCTTGTTAGCCCGGAAGTTGCAGATGTCATATCTTCCCAGAGCAATGAACTCGGTAAGATCACGAACGCTGTTCCATTTAAAAGAAAAAACAAAAGAGCCCGGTATATCAGGTGGGGTCTGCGGGGGGATGTATGCAGGTCTATGTTTACCCCAAGGGGTAGAGTGTTTGTTTTCGTGAAGACCCAGAAAAAGAAAGTTCGACCACAAGGTTTGAAGAAACCGAAAAAAGGAAAAGAAGTCGATTTGAGCCCAAAAAAGTTGATACGTCGAATTTTGAAAAAGAAAAACCAAATCTAGTTAAAAGTTATTCCATTTGATTTTGTGATTTGTATTTGGTCTTGAACTACATTTTCGGACCGTTATATTTGTTAGGAGTTTTGTCTCATGGATTCACGTACTCTGGGCATCCTGTATCGTGTGCCGTTGCTTTGGAAGCACTCAAGATTTACCGGTAAGTTTGCTTTCATATTTCCATGTGCTTTTCTTGTTTATATATATATATAGAATTATGTGGCGTGAAATTCCTTTTAAGCCGGTATATCTCACTTAAAAGTAGGGTCTAGATGGTGAGATGTACGCAGAACTATCCTCCACCTAAAGGGTAGAAAGGTCTTTCCCGTAAAGACTCTCTTTAAGCCATTTTTTGTATTTCCAGGGAGAGAAACATCGTTGAGCAAGTGAATAGCATCGCACCGAGGTTTCAAGATGGTTTAAAAGCCTTTTCATCGAGTCCTATAATCGGAGAGGTATTTCATCACCATCAAATGACTTTTCCGTTTATAATAAATGTATATTACTCTTTCTGTTCCAAAATAAATGTCTATTTTCCAATTCTACCCTTAATTATAAACATGACGAAATTCATTAATCCCTCTATTGTTAAGGGTAAAATTGTCATTTAGTTATTAGAAACTGCAATACTTACACATTTCTAAAACTGTGTGCCTTTTTCATTGGGGACATTTATTTTGTCGTTATCATATGTTTATCGATTTTGTAGATACGTGGAACGGGGTTGATCTTGGCGACTGAATTTGCCGATAGCAAGTCATGTGACACTCCCTTCCCGCCTGAATGGGGTGAGAAGAATGCGCTTGTTTTTTTAATTACATATACGTTCATATTTATCCCGAGTATTACACAAAATCCTTAACTATATCGGATTTTGATAATATTCGAGTTCAGGGGTAGGTGCATATTTTGGAGCCGAGTGTCAAAAACACGGGATGTTAGTACGTATTTCCGGTGACATCATAATGATGTCTCCGCCATTTATAATCACCTCCGGCGAAGTTGACGAGGTACGTTATCCATCAACTTTGAAGCACCATTTTTTTTCAACAGATTCTCTATAATTTCTCCAAAACGGAGAAACAAACATTAAAATCTTCAAAAACAACCAAAAATCTGATCGGATTTCGAATATGGAAACCAAGCCCCAAATTTTGGGTTTCGGATTGATTCGGGTATATAGTTATAATGCACAAAATATACATATTTAATCGATTTTAAGGATGAATTCAATCGATTGAGAGGATTGATGAAATTGATAATAGGTAAATAAATTATTTATGTAATATTTACAATATATATACACATATATTTTGGGCTTTCGGGCAGATTAGGTAGCCAAAATTCAAGCCCAACCCGCACTAAAATATCCCCCAAAAATCGGGTTTCGGATTTTTGCATTTCAGGGAATTCGGGTTTTCCTTGTTTTTTGTTCAGGTTCAGATTTCAGATCATTCGGGTTTTCTACATCCCTATTCATCCATGTCCTGTTCTGTCTTGTCCATGTCCAGTGTACCAAACGCACCCTAAATGAACTTCATTACATTCAACTTTATCGTTTAAAGTAAAACATTTAAAAAACATTCATCTGTTTAGCTGTTAATTTTAAAGAGTTCTTTAAATTTAGAGATTCTTACTTTCTCTCTCTTACTTTATTTATTTCGAGAAAATTTGGATGATCCGATGGAGAAAAAAAGGGTTAAAACTCAAAATTTCCATTTTTCTCTGTTTTGAAGAATCTGTTAGATGACCATCTTCTTATCTGTGAGGCTAAAGTTGTAGTAACCTTAAATGTTCATAGGATATCATATCCCCCCTCCATGACTAATGTTCGACAAATGATCGTTTTTGCAGTTGATAAGCATCTACGCAAAAGCGCTAAAGGCAACCGAAACTAGGGTGGAGGAATTGAAGTCTCGGAGTTAAGGGTAACTTGGGAAAATATCCGGGCTTCCGTGGAGAAAGTATATCAAGATTCTGAATTTTGCGATAACGGTTTTCGGAAGTTGGATGATTTTAGTAACGGTTTTAAAGTCCGATAGTTAAATTAGAATTTAGAGACTAATATTGTTATTTATTGAAAATTTTTCTTGTTTTTAGTTACACATTCAAATAAGGGCGAATGATCATTGCCAGAAGGAAAGTTATGGTGAGAAGTGTAAGAATGAGACTTGTACCCTTGATCACTTTTTATCTCATGTCACCCATGAATTGCGCTTTAGAAGGGAATTTGATCTAGTGCGTCTCGGTGCACCTCCTTAGTGTTGTTGACATTTAATTAGGATTGATCTAAGAGTGGAGATCAGAGATCTCTTCTTATGCTTATCATCATAACTTCTTTCTTATCGGAACTTAACTCTTCAATAAAAAGGCTAAAGGGTTATTTACCAACGTTATTCGAGTAAGCATGTACCAGGTGAGAGTCAAACACTCTAACTTACCTTATCAGGTAAGATTTGTGGTGATCAAATGACATAGTAGCAAGGGTGTTTAAAAAAAAACCAATAAACCGTAAAAGTCAGTCGGCTTAAGCGAAATTGGATTGGTTTTGGCGGTCCAGTTCAGATTTGGAAAATTGCTAAACCGGGCCCATATGTTGTTTGAGAGGCTTTTTTAGTGGAGTAAATCGATTGAACCAATTGCTTCAGAATATGTGATATTACACATTATAGACATCACAAGTTCTGCAACGTACTTACTGCTTACGTCTGCTCCACCACCGTGGTATCAACATGTTGGTTTTGCAATTAGATGCGTTAATGGTAACCATTGTGTGAAACTAGACTCCACAGAAGGATACTCGATCCATACCATACTATTACAACACATTTTTTTTATTTCAACTTTTCGTGTGTTGGCGCATGATCTACCCCGTATTTAGATCGAATAAACAAGTACACACAAATTTTACATGTTAATTGTATAACATTGTCATTTTAGAATAAATGAACATGTAATATAAATTATTTTATAAATAAATAAATAAAATTCAATTCCATTTCAAATCCTACAAACCAAACAGATAAGTAAAAATTTAAATTCATTTATCAAATTTATATTCTTTATTTAAAGTTATAATATTCACTTTGAAGACACATATCTCGATATTAAACCTATAATTATTATTAAATGTAAGATAAATTGTATTAAAATAAAACGTATTCCATTATGTTTTTATTGGGATTAGTCGGCTCACATAGCGGGTTGAATATCTAGGTTAATAGAAAAAAAGACATATTTTAAAAAACAACAAGAGATATCTTAAACAAGATTTTATCTATTTATAAAATTATAATTAGTTTTTTTCCAAACAAAATTGTAATAAAGTGTTGTTAAACAAGATTTTATCTATTTAAAATTGAAACTTAATTAAATAAAAATAAACATCATATAATAAATTGTTGTTAAATTTACCATTTTCAATTGTAAACTACAATTTAGTCCCTATGGTTATTAAAAATAACAATCTTTGCCTTTATGGTTTGCAAAAATATACAAATTTAGTCCCTCCCTTTAACGACCGGTAAAAACTCTAATAATTGTGGAACGTTTTCCTTGTTTTATCGAAAGCATTGTCTTTTACCCAATCAGAAACGACATGAATAAAAATCGTATAATCAATTTTGATCAAATAAAAAACAAAAAAGTCGACGAAATGACTGAAAATGTCTCTTACTTAACGGAATTTTAGTGATAACTAAAAAAAAGGATTAATGGGGTGTTTGGGATTGCTTATTTGAAACAACTTATCATTTTCTATAAAAATGTTTATCAACTTATTATAATTTCTTCAAAAACTCTTTATTACCGGTTTGATACTAGTATAAGTTGTTTATCCAAACACTAAAAAGTGCTTATTACCAGTGTCACACCGAAATAAGTGAATAAGTATTTTTATAAGCAAATCCCAAACAAATGCGTAGTTTAGAGTTAAGAGGTTGTTTGTTTACCTCTTAATAGTTTTATTAATAGGCAACCTCTGAATCGTTAAAAGATGAATCTTGTTTGGTAAAAAAAAAAATCATGTCTCTTAATGGTTTTAAAACCCTCTGAATGATTTTGTATCATGAATCTCCTTAACCATTAAAAGCATTAATTTTATTATACACAATTACCAAACAATTATATTTTATTTTACAAAAGAGTTTTTTAATTATTTTGACCAATTAATTATTTTACACCAAACCATTTAACAATTCTTTAGAGTTGAATTCAACAAAAAGAACATGATAAAATAATAATTATATTTGTTTTGATGGTAAATTTAAATACAGTTTTGGATTGATGGGTAAAAGCCAAAGAATCCACGTCGTAGATTTTCTTTATTCAATACTACTGCCGGCGGCATGAGTGCAACTACCGGAGCTCACCACCCTTCAACCCTCAAAAATCAATAATCGCAACCACTGATTCATCGCCCAATTCTTCTTGCTTCAAACCTTCCACGATTTCGCTTCGTTAAAGGTCAGATTTCCTCCCATCTTTCACTTTCTATTGTTGGAAAGTTCTCCCCAACTCTGATTTCGACTCCTCAGGTTTTCTTTGCAATCGGATTCGTATTCTTAACATGCATTCATGTTTTCTGGTCGTGTTTATGTTGATTAGTCATCAACGATGAATTTGTTTTATAATCATTCGTTTTTTCTGAGAAATTGTGGGTTGGATTTTTTTCATGCCCTTGTGATTGGATACATTCGATAATCGATGTATACTCAACAGAGATTCTAATTTAGCGAGTCAAATGTTACGGGAGGAAAGAAAATTGGTGATTGATTATACTCTCTCAATTCGTTAAAATGTGTGCAGTTTGAATTTGAAGTTCAAAATTTTCATATTGAGAATGGATACGGATCCTTTCAAATCTTTTTGAACTTTATGTCATATCCTAATTTCTACGAGCAGAATAAGCTTACTGTTAAATTCGTGAGAGAATCTTTAACAAAATTTGAATTTAGAAACTAATAGTTTGACCTCCAGAAGCAATTCATGGCTCTATTTCTTTTGGGTTTGCATTTTAACCTTCCACAACTAGATTCAGATGTCATTCAGATGGTTTTCTTCTTGTAGTTGTTTTTGATGGAATAATAGGAATAAAATGTTTTTGATGGAATCCAGCATAAGATATACAACTGGTCACGAAGTTGGTATAAATGTTTTTAGTTTCTGAATAGTAGGAATATAATGTTTCATCTACTCTACATTCTCAGTTTCTGGCTCCACAATAATTGTGGCCACTGAGTTTATCAAGGCTGATGATGTCTTACAGTCGCAATTTGCCGAGATTAGTCTGGGCATAGCCCGAGACAACCTTCAAAAACAGTTAAGGATTCTCCCACAGGGGATGCCTTATAAGAATAAGAATATGGAATCACAGTGAAGAGGGTTTTCCTCTAAATAGACGATGATATGTATTTTTTTTTGCAAGTATAGCTTATGCCAGAATATTTTTTACAATCCTATAATCTTGAATATCTTATCACAAATTGGTCCTATCGCGTTGTAGATTGTTAATAAGCACCTGGATTGATTGCAAATATATTATGTTTCTTGGAAATGTCTGTTGGTTTTCTGATGTTGATGAGGCTCTTCTAATTCTAAGAAGTCTGTTATAATTAGTCAATCTCAAACGGAGAACCCTCGTGGAGTAAATGGTTGTTGACAAATTCAGCTTTAGTTCGTGACAGTCTGAAAGGGACTTCTTTTTATGAAGACATAAGGTTGTTGTTCAAAGTGAAACCTAAAGCAAATGAACCCAATATATCCCACTCGAAAGTAGTGTCTGGGAGGGGTAGGATGTACGCAGACCTTACTTCAACCACTAGGATCGAGAGACCGTTTCCGTGAAGACCCTCGGCTTGTGCATACTGCAAGGGTGTGTGCAAGCAGGCAATAAGATAGGTAATATAACAGACTATCAAGCAATATAGCAGGTAGAATAAAGATTCCATGGTGTGTGCACAATTCAATGGTGTGCAAGCAGACAACGTAATCAGGTAAAACATGTAATACAAGTAGAAACTAATGTACATAGCAACTTAAACATGTAGAACAGTAAGAAAGTTAAAACGTCGATAAGTTGATCTCTGTTACATCTTTCTTCTTTGTTCCTTGTTAAAAGTGTCTCATGAAGTAAAGGGCATCACTGACTGCAACAGGTTGCAAAATTAAAAAGTCTATCACTCAGTCCATCGTAAGGCTGAAATAGGCATATATTCAGTTCAGTCAGATCTCTAGAGAGCGGAGGTCTAGATTCAATTATTTCAACTTTCTGAATGCTACTTGTTTCATGGGTGTGGATTGAATTTCATTCCTCAGTGGTCCAGGAGTCCAGATGGAATATTTTGACCCCATTTAATTGCTTTTATGATAAATACACTTTTGGAGTGCAGTATTTGTGAAACAAATTAGCATACAAAACAACATTCACTTGTACATCTCCGTGGAGTTGGGGGAAGGAAAAACTCGGTTGGGACCGACAAAAGCGGAATCGGGACTGGACCAACCAGAATGGAACGAGCTATGTTCGGTTCGGTTCTCGGATCCAGACTTTTTCAAAGATCGGTCTTAGGTTTGGTCCAGTCCGGTTCAAAACGAGAAGCAAACCGAGTTTTTTATATTTCAAACTCGAAATGACGCTTTTTTAAGTTTATATTTTTCAAATCAAAACAAACCCAAGTATGTATTTGTTCACGGTCCAGTTTGGAACTGAACCACTTTAGTTGGGTTTATTTTCAGTTCCATTATAATTTTTTTCGGTTTCAGTCCGGTCTGGTCCTGTTCCACCCTGATTGCACACTCCTACACGGATTAGATCTTCTAGTTTACTCTGATCTTGAATTTCTCATAACTTGATCACTGCTTTGTATGTTCAGAAAATTGCCTTACAGAAGTACATACAATTCATATTAATGAAAATAACTATTGATTTGTCTGTCATTATTGAAACATTAGAGAAGAATAAGTTTGCTTTACGGAAGTATGTTTGTCAGAGTAATGATTGATTTGTTTGGTGTGTTTTCGAAGTTGTTACACCAAAAGAATTCATGTCTGGCAGATCATCATAGTTGATGGGGTAGGGACTAGGGAGAAGAAAGGAAGTTGAGGCTTACTGATGATTCTGCGTGTGAACTCTACTATTCATATATCCTTTTTGAAGTTATTAATTGATAAGTTACTTAATATGGTGGTGGCCACCAACACCACCTTACCCAGGCCACACTAGCGGGTAGTGTGGATGCTAAATTTACCATGTCCTTTTCTGTCTTGAGGTTTAGGGGCTGTTTGGTTGGTTTTCTATGAAGTTCTGTATGGATAAAGCTGTATGTGTGTATTAATCTGTCTGTATAGATTGGGAAGGTTTTTGTTTGGGAGGGGTTTTCCTAGATGGAAGGAGCATGTTTTTTAATTGGGAGACAAGTTTGGAAAATAAAAACTTGGCTTTCTGCATAAAGCTCACCCCTAGAAGCTTACTGACTAAGCCACTTTCTATATCATTAAGCCACTAACAAACAGTCATATATAGTTGACCGAATAAGCTATGAGTCCCATTAAGCCTATTAAGCTGCTAACAAACAGACCCTTACTCTCTGAAAAACCTAGCTCACTGGGGGTCAGTCTCACTTGATAGAATAAAAATTAAGTTTTTATTAGAATATTATTTCGGACAACATTGTCTTGGTGATTTATTGTCGTCAGCTTTTGGTGTAATTGAGATTTACATGAGAGTGAGACTGAAGAGGTGTTGGTTAAGTTGTCATACAAATTAGGAGGTGTGGAGAGCATGCTTGCATAAGCTAACTACAAGGGGGTCGCGCCCCCTTGCAGTTAGGGTCTTCAGCTTCAGTGCTTGGGTCAATAAAGCTGATCAGTGAGTGCCCTCCTTAACTGCCTTGTAACCACTGTTAACTACCCGGTAACACTGGTAACACATACCTTTAAAGAAGCTTTAAGTCCCGATTCATAGATACGAACAGAATATAATCTGTGTTTTTACCGTCGTTTTCTGCCTAAAAACAGTAAATAAACAGTAAATAGGATAAAACTTGACAACTATTGGGCTGTTACATGTTGACACTTCAGGATAGTGTCCAGTTTTTTCCCCCATGATCCAATTTTGTACGTATTTTAGAACCCAGCCAAGGACAATGTAATTCACAGCATATACCTCTAGGCTTCTAGCAAAATGATTGTATCTTAACACAATTATCCCTCAACTTATTTGAATAGAGCTGCTCAAAGTAAGATTTAGCTGTTACATGAGCTGACAGGGTTGAAGATTATTGAAGTCATTAATCACTGGTCATTGCATTATCCATGGATTTATGACCTCAAAACTTTCACATGGTAGTATCTTTGGATCGACATCTTGACTGCAAATAACCCCGTTTTCCCTTTCTCCTGATATGCTTGTGTACTCACTGTACTGTTGGAAAAAGGACTTCTTGGTTTTTGAAAATAAAACATTGTTATCACTTAGCAAAGCAATGTGCTAGATAAATTGTATGGTTATTTTGATGATCTAGTTGCATCATGCCATCATTGACTTGCCCTTGACTTCCGGTTATATAATTGGTTTTTTCGTTTTGCCTTTAGTTACCCTTATATGGTACCTTCCATTTTGCAGATTAATGGAGGGCTCATTCCCGGTTAGAGAATATCTCATTGACATGGGATCAGATATGGACGATAAATCAAGCGGAAGGACGCCTACGGACGATCAGTTTTTCCTCTTGTATTTCATCATGGGTACCTATTTCGGACCTGATCTCAAGGAAGAAACACAGAAGTCTGTTTTCCAAAGACGTGCCGAGGGTCTTCCACCATATACTCCAGAAAAACTAGCTGGTTCTTGCATTAAGACAGTAGAAGTAGAGAGAGTCTACTACTATGTGCTTAGAAAAGCCGATCCATCCATCGTATTGAAACTACCATGGCTCCAACAATTTTTTCATGGGAATCTCTCAACCTCTACTCGAAGCCCAACTCTACCTTTCCCACAATTCGATGATCTCTTCCCTCCGAATTTGCATCCTCATTCGATGTTCAAAGGTCAGTATGAAGCCATTAACAACATTGTATTCATTAGTGACCCAAATACCCTTTATATCGGACCAGAGTATCTTGAAAGGTTTAAGAGGCTGACAAGGCTAGAAGATGTCCGTTTGGACAGAGATGACGCCAGGCGTCATACAACTGTTGATGGGAAAGTTTTATATAACATAGATGTGCAGGAGATCGATTGTCATAAAGAGTCAAGGCCAACATCTTCTGGTGGACCTGAAGAAGAAACGCCGCCTTTAAGTCCTCTATTGAAGCATAAAGGTTCTTTGCCGACCAATGGCGTGCCTTATAGTGATACCCCACCTATACGTAGTGTAGTTGGAAATAGTACTCCAATTTCTGGTTGTGTAACAAACAATGGTGGTTCTGCTGATTGCCTTTCAACTGGAATGAAATCGAGTGCCCTGGCTGAACTTGGATCAGATATGATATTTCTTCCTTCTCGTCCGACTAGGGAAGAGTGGATTAATATCGTAAATGCCACCAAAAGTGGATGTGCGTTGACTGGAAGCGCTACGATGGGTCATATTGGTCCAAATATAGGAAGCATCGACATTGGGGAATGTGAGGACTCGTATCTATTCCGTGTCTCTCTTCCTGGAGTAAAAAGGGATGAAAGTAAGTTCTTTTGTTTGTATATGTTTACTTACAAAAGCTGTCACCTTTTCATTCAAATCACTAAATTTTGGACCTATGGAGATCAAATACGCTCAGGTAAAATCAGACTCTTCAACTAAAACCAAACCAAACAGACTCAGGGCCTGTATGTTAGCAGCTTAACGAGCTTAATGGGACTTGCAACTTATTCGGTCAGTTGTACATGACTGTTTGGTAGTGGGTTCATGATATAGAAAATGGCTTATTCAATATGCTTTTAGGGGGGAGCTTTATGTAGAAAGCCAATTTTTTTTTCCAAACCTATCCCTCCCTATAAAGAACACGTTCTTTCTATCTATAAAAAGAGCCTTCCAAACAAAAACCTTCCCGATGTATTAAGGCAGATCAATCCACACAGACAGCTTTATCCCTATAGGACTAAATCAAAAACCAACCAAACAGCCCCTCAGTATATCCCACCCGAATCTCTGGTCTGGGCGGGGAAGATGTGCGCTTGCCTTACCTTTGTCTCTGTCTCACAAGTCATAGAAGATATTTACGAGAAGACCGCCGGCTTGCAAAAAAAGAAGAAAAATCAGACCCTTCAACTAACCAACCGAATTCGCCCATTCAATTCATAACCAATTCACCACCATTGACTAGTTTATGAACTCCTCTAATATTTAGAAATAGATATACACGATGGTGATGATGTGGCATTGTATTACTTGTGAACTTTAAGATTTGGTGATCTTAATTATGTTCTCTTTTTTATCTATTATATTTCTCGATTACCTATCTTATTGCCTGCTTGCACACGCCTTTGCTTCGTGCACAAGCCATGGGTCTTCACAAAAACAGCCTCTCATTCTTAGTGGTTGAGGTAATGCCTACATCCCACCCCTTTTGGACCCTACTTTCTAGTAGGATATATTGGGTTCGTTTGGTTTGGTTTGGTTTGGTTTGGTTTCTCTCTATCTATCTTTTCCATTTTTGGCTGTATCTATCTATGTGGTTAGGTTCAGGGGAAAACCGTAAAAAAAAAATGAAAAAATGAGGAACACCCGTTCAGTTCATTTGGACGGTATGCACATATGCATACAAGTCATTTGATTTCTCCGGTATACACATGTGCATATCATTCACACATGCATAAAAACCAAGAACAACTTCAATTTCTTGTATGCACATGTGCATACAGTCCAGATGAATGGTTACCTGGGTGTTCCTCAGTTTTTATTTTTTTGGGTTTTTCCCCAGAATCTCCCTATCTGTGATATTTACCTATGGTTTTTGTAAATTAGCTGGTGGTGGTAAAACATGAATTTTACTTGTGGCTGCAGGAGAATTCAGTTGTGAGGTTGAGGATGATGGTAAAGTATCGGTAAGGGGAGCAACGGTGACGGGTGAGAAAACAGTGTGTAGATTTGATCAGATATTTGAAATGCAGTCTCAGAAACTTTGTCCTCCGGGTCACTTTTCCGTCTCGTTTAAGCTGCCAGGTCCCGTTGATCCTCAACAATTTTCTGGGAATTTTGGCACTGATGGGATTCTGGAGGGAATCGTGATGAAGGCACGTAGAAAGGGGAAAAGATGATCTTGATGCATTCGTTTACTGGTATGCTTTATGTATTGCATCATGTTTCTTATTAGAATCTTCTCGTTAGATATTTCGACTGCTTACGATGATCAGGTTAGGTCCTTCTTAGACGTCGTTTGGGTGACATAGACTATGCACGTCACTATGAGTAGTCGTGTACTCGTCACATTAAATTATATTTTCTAAATATAGAATCACCAGTTTTATTTCCTTTTTTATCTAAAACGTTCTAGTGTCAAACACACGGCATTCATTTACCTGTCTAGTTACTATCTTAGTGGTGCATTTGGTACGAAAATGGGACTAGATTGGACTAGTCGGTCGAGAGTGAGGTAGGCGAGTGAAAAGTTGTGAAAGGTTGTAAGGTTTTAATTTGATATGGGTAGTTTAGTAATTTATCAATCTTGTCTAATTTACCATATTTTTCTTCCACCTTTTTTTTGGAAGAGTATCCCAAGTTATGCCTGGACTAATCATGACAAATTGTGACTGCAAAAAATCATATGAACTCAGTAGCCATAATTGTTGTGTACGCTTGGAATGAACTCTGGGCAGATGGGATATTCCACTATACCCCCACTACGCACAACCCTTGTGGTTTGTTCCACCTATTTTGGTGGACAAAATACATTTACCATTCTAATGTTGTATCAAACATGGGATGACGAGTTTGTACCGTCCTATCCATGTATCCCACGTACCAACTGTATCCTAATTGCATATCTTTTATTACAAATCAAGTGCACCATATTTGACGGTGTTAAGTGCAGGGGTCAATTTGTCGTGTAAAACACAAAACAAGTGCCATTTGTGTATTTAATGTGTTTTAGGGACCAAATCCAAAATTAAGGCATAACATAGGGACCAAGGATGTAATTCACTCTTTCGATGTCTACATCGACCAATTAGAGGTGGTGGAATTACGTATTCATTGTAGGGATTTTGAAGGACACACGATCTGAAAAACCAAAGTTGTAAGTTTTACCAACAACTGAATGCAGAACAAATGGATCAAATATTATGTCATCCTTCTCGGTTTTTGTTAGTGATTGGTTCTTGTGCGACCTCGCAAATTTGGTTTGCAAGAAACAAGGTAACATTCGGTGTTGGTGTGTCATTGCGAAGGTCGTCACATGGGGATGGATCCATAATCGATACGAATGAAGTATCAGAGAAGATTTCAGTATTAATTATATTTTTAAAATATTCAAGACATTTAATATTCCAATAGATTTTCAAACAAATTTATACAAAGTAATAATTTTTTATTTTCACATTTATCTATTTTGAACCAAAATAAATAAAGAAAAATAATATTGAGCATAAAAAACTTTAAAATCCCAGTTTTTCAACACAAAAATCATAGAGTGACATTTGAAATCTTATTTTACTTATTATAAGAGGTGATGTTGAAATCTCAAAACAGAATCAATAAGGCTGTTTGTTTTTGTAAATCTATAAACGTTTGGATCCATATAAGAGCTTTTTCCCGCAACTTCTTGAAACTGGTTCTAAACTTTTTTTGTTAATAAACCACAACCACCATTTTATCCTTCTAAATTCAAACCGATTAAAAAGTTCGTCAAATGTAAGAAAAACGTTTGAGATTTTTATACTTAGAGCTTTTTATATGTATAGCTTTCAGAGGGAAGCATTAAGCTCGTGACAACCCACCTTTTCATCAGCAAAAATCATTAAAATTGAAGAAAGATCAAATATGATAATAAAAGCATTAAGTAGACGATGGAGAAAAATAAGTGAAATTATGTCGGTAAAAACCATAAGCAACTAATGTAGGTAATACAAAACATTTATATACATGAAAATGATGACGAAAGATTCAATAGATTTACATATAACAAAACTAACGATGAGATCAAGAAAGAATCACAAAAGACTGATCGACGAAATTGACAAATGATCAGCAATCAAACTGAAAAGAAATCGATAATCGATAATAAAACAGAAGATGGAAGTTGATATGAGACGAAACACATTTCTTTCTGGTTCGATGAAATTTGGAATCGTGACTCTTTTGTAATTTATAGGATTCGTTTGATGCAGTTCATCTTCGTTCGTGTAAGAACCCACTTTTTGTAATTTTGTTTGCCACATCATTTCCACCTCATCAAATTAAGAACCCACATAAAACTTCACAATGATAGTTCTTATAACAACCCATTTTGTGGATTCCATGTATTTTTTCTACATCAATAATAATTATAAAATCAATAAAATATATATAAAAAAAACTAACAAAAAGGTCACTTCCACGCCAATTTTAAGGTAAGAATCAAGATTCTTATACATGAACCCAAAGGATTGGAGATTCTTATAAGAACGCTCTCCAATGGTGGTTCTTTTAAGAAACCTTGCATTAGATATGCTCTTAAACTTGTTTAAAATCCTACAGATCTCAGAAAACAGTGTATGGTATGTATTTGCTGATTTGATCTTCACAGGCATACCTGACTATCTATGTTGCCAGCGTCCCAGTTGGTGAATCCGTACGCATACTAAACCACATTTCATGCAAAACACCAAATGTCTCGTTAGATTTAAAACACAGAGCATAACCAAACCAAACGAAACGGACCCAATAAATCCCACTCGAAAGTAGGGTCTGGGGTGAGATGCACATGGACGTGAAGCCCCTGGCTTGTGCAAAAGTGAGCAAACATGTAGCGGGAATTAAGATTAGCAGACTATGGGATTGTTTGTTTACCTCTTAATAGTTCCATTAAGAGGCAATCTCTGAATCATTAAGAGGTGAATCTTGTTTGACAAAAAAAAATCTGCCTCTTAATGGTTTTAAAACCTTCTTAGTGGTTTTATATCATGCGCCCTACTTTCATTGTAAACAATTATCAAATAATTATATTTCATTTTTCACTATATCATGAGAGCCTCTCTTAATCATTCTGCACCAAATCATTCGGCAACGGCCAAACAGCCCCTATATAACACAAATAACCAAACTGTATACATGTCATACATATACACCACAACATGTATCAAAACCATCCACACCAAATTAACATAGCAAAGATCAAGATTTTACTGAAAATAGACACCAGATTGTATACTTGTATGCATCCCATCTACAATTTTAATGAAGGCTCACTTGATAGTTCAGCGTAACCTGAAACCGATCAAGGATTAATTACGCTACCTCCCAGAACACCTACATATCATATCATATCATATCCACAAGATCGATCACTAACCACTGCATTCATACTTGCACTTGCAAATGGACGTAAATGGAAGAGAAAAGCTTCAAGGGAAAAATGGGAACATACCATAACAACATCAGAAGCCGCAGTCAAATTCAAACCTGCAACAATGAGATACTAACGGCGGATAACATCTGCAATGCAACAATTACACCCTGATCTGCCTACCAAGTAACGGGCGATCAAGGCGTATCTGATCATCAAGAAAACATGAGGCCTTCGAAAGGCAATGGAATTGATACTACGGAGATCTCTTGGATGACAATGGTCAGCTATAATTTATCAGTTTATGCAACAGTGATCGTTTTATACTTGAACTACCTTCGAAACAATGACATTGTAATAAGCTTGTTGTGATTCCATTCTTTGATAGAAAAGTGAATAATGGTACTCTTATTCAAAGAACCTACAAGTTAATCGTTGCATCAAGTAAAAGACATGTACCATGAAATACTTCATATATTCTCAAAATCAAGCAAAACACGTTGCGCACTAATGCACTGGATTCCATCAGAACTCCGGAGTCAACCATGTTTGATGGGATATCCTTGTGCTATAAAAAGACCAACACCTTACACATTGCAAAGAAAATCCCAATTGTTTCTCAAACCAAAAACTGTTGTTGTTTTATATCCTCATTGCAGAAAACTGCAAAATCATCCAACTCCATGAAAGCCATCCATCCAAGAAAACTGTAGAAACATTGAATCAAGAAGCTACCAACATGCGAAAAATAAAGAATATGATTTCGATCAAGAAGCTTGTCTTTTACTTGATCTTCATATAGTTCTACGACCTTTGTGTTTTCTTCTTGCCATCCCCATTGCCTTAAAACCCTTGATCAACCTCTGCAATTCATCTCTTTTGTGAATGGATAGACTCACAGCAGCAGCACCACTGCAAAACCCTAAAAGCCATTCAGGAACACATCCATTGCGAAGCAAAACCAAGAACATTGATAAGCACAATGCCCCTAATAACACATCCTTCCCTAATTCCAATTCTCCCCCCAAAATTAACGCCCAAAACCCTAAACAGCAAACAGCCGTAAACCCCCAAAACCAAAACCCTATCTTCTTATTCACTCTCCTCTTTCTCCCGTCGAACCCTCCCCACCCAAATCCCTTCCAAGAACCGCCGCCTGACCGCCCACCACCGCCGTCTCCACCTCCGAATTCTCTCATCACGGAATTCAATGGCTCTGGTAAGACGTAATGAAGATTGGATGCGGCAAAAAGGGCTAATTTTACTAGGGTTTTTCTTGATCTTTGAGATCCGAAAAACCCTTTACTGCCGCTCCTTGCACATGTAATTATCGATTTACGGGAGGGAAATCTATCCGGATGTAGAAAGGTGTAACAGATTCTCCCAGAAAGGCAGTTCTCTGGAGAAATTGGATTAAATTTGAAGGAATTTGGGAGGAGAAATTGATGAGACTGCATCATTCGAGTTGACCGTTGGGTCTTTGATGCTTGATTTCTCTGTAAACAACTGCCACCATTTGTGGCCCTCACTGCTCTCAAAAGAAAATGTTCAATTTCAAAACCGATGCTTTCAGAACGCCAGTTACATAGATGCTTTTCGTGGTTGTATTCTTTCGGATCTTTTTTTTTCATTAAAAATGATTTTTCTTTTCGAATTTTCATGAAAATGACCGGAATATATTGATGTATTAACAAAATAGTCATTTTTTACAGGATTTTCTAAAATAGTCACATGGATCGCCATGAGAGGGCATGGTTTAACTTGGGGGCGATTCTCCCATTTCCTTGACCAAAAAGTACCCAAAAATATTAAAATTAGATATAAATAATTTTTTAAAGATCAAACTACGTAAATCATATATAATATCTGATTTTTGTTCCTCAAATTAGATACAAATATTTTGTTTTTGTTTACAATTATTATAGAATATTAGCATTCAGTGTTTATTAAAAAATATATTTTTTATAACAAAATATAAGAACATTCATTGGTTAATTTATGCGTTTAAAAAAATAGTAAAAATTATAAATATTCACACACTTTCATATTGTTTTAATGGTTGTCATAGTAGATTGTGTTTACGGTTTACAGGTTGTGAGAGTAAAAGTGTTTTATTGATAGAGTAAAACAATGACATTTGGTCCTAAAACAGTTAAAAATTTAGTCTAAAACGTCCCCAATTTATATACTAAAAGACGAATTGGATGTCAAAAAAATGTTGGATCGCCCCTGGGGGGAAGATCCGGTGAGGCGGGGGTGATCCCAATTATCGAGGCGCACGGCGTTTGGTCTCCTAAGTAGATACATGTGGGTTCACAAATTAATTTTCATTTTTTCTTGTAGTTTATGTACTTCCCCCCCTCCCCCGCGTTCAACCCATGCCCCCCGGGGCGATTCATGTGGCTATTTTGGTAAAACCTGTAAAAAAATGGTTATTTTGTTAATAAATCAGTGTTGGTCCCAAAAGGGTCTACAAGAATACTAAACAGTTTGTAGAAGGGTGGGGGGATGAATACAAACACAATTTTCAAATTTAAAATATATATTGATAAAGAAGATCAATACAGATTTTACAAGATTGTTTGCGGAAA